GATGATTATTGGTTTTGCGTGGTGTTAGTGCCAAACCTCATCTGACAAGACTGATTTTCACGACAATAACAGATAGAGATCACAGATATTTGTTGTTTGGAAAGGAGATGAATGTTCTTCTAAAGAGATAATATATGATGAATAGATATAATAATAAGAATGAGATATTGCTTGCATAAAATGGTTCATTAAAAAAAGGTAAAAAAAAATCCCATTTACACAAACGCTTATCGATGGATTCAGTTATTAAGCTGTCCACTGTGATTCAAATATGCGTTTCAAAACCTGCTCATGGTCTGTGAAGTTGTTGAATTACCTAGACTGGGAAACTGTTAGCCGATTTTTTAAACCAAAGTGCATGGAGAGGAAATAATGATTCCATCATAGGCTCTTTATAAAAGATTGAGCGCAACGTACAGAATCGTAACAGAAACAAAAAAGTAGTACAGTGACATTGTAAAGTGCTGTCTCTTAATGTTACTGAATTAAGCAAAAAGTGTCTGCAGCCTGCTAGCAGCTCTGTAGGCTGTTCTGATGCACAGTAGTGCTTTGAGCTAAATGCTAACATCCCAATGCTAACATGCTCTGGGTGCAGCTTTAAGTCTCAAAATAACTGCACCAAGCCCATCAAACTGGCTCCCCAAGATTTCCTTTTATACATTTTCAAATATAAAATACTATTTGTAACACAGCTTGACTGAATACTTGAAGGGAACATTATTTTACATGTTTCCTGTTCCCACAATTCATTTTCATGGTGTTTTTCTGATGGATTCTCCATCTTTCCAATTCTCTTTTCATTGAAGGGCAGGACCTTGAAAATGTGTCGGGCCCTTGCAAAAAGCTTGTGTAGAGAGTGTATAGGGCGGACTGACTCTGAGTGCGAGTACAAACACAACAAGGCTGTAAAGGTGGACTGGTGAGTAGATTAATCTGCGTGTTTGGTGCATCATTAAGCATCCAAAATAAATAGCTTTTTTTTCTCTTGGGTTTGTGAATGCAGATTACATAATGACACTTTTTGACCCTAATTAAATAAAAGTTGCATAGTGCTAATATAAAGTCTATTTGCAACAAAATCAATACATTCTTTCTCTTAAGAACATAAATGTGTCCATTAAATTTCATGTCAGTCCAGACAGTAGATCGTTTCATCCATGACTTAACTGCTATTAAATGGGTTACATTTGAGTTAATTCCTTTTGTTGAAGATACATGGAACTTCTTTTATTCTTAAATTACGTTTCTGTTAGTCATATAATTTATAAACATGCTCCCATGAAAACAATTAGAGTTAAAGGTAAACATTTACCCTGGATCAACTCACATATTATCAGCATTTTCAAACAAAGGGATAAAGCCTGAGCCAAATATCACTTATCTAAAGATTCTGCTGATTGGGAAACCTAGAGATACTTGAGAAATTTGTATGAGTCCAAAACAAGGAATGCCAAATCTAACTACTATAGAGATTGCTTTAAAGATAGAATTTCATAACCTCGTACAGTTTTGGAATAATTTGAATGGTATTCTCAATAAATCCAATAAAAGCTTGATAAACCATGTACAAATGAATAATGAACCAATTTCTGATCCTTCACTCCTTTAATATTCAACACTTCTTTTCTATTGGTGGGTCCTAATACACTTACCTGTCTGGTACAACCAGCTCCTCAAACTTTCAAACTTTTTTAACTTTCATATACATAGGCTACTCATTTTCTTTCAGAAAAATCTTGCCTATTGGTGTTTTTCATTCCATATGTGAGTTAAAAGAAAACAGTAGTGCTGGTCCAAATGGTCTGGAAGCTAAATTTGTTAAACTTGCTTCTCATGTATTAATGTATCCTCTTGCAGATTTATTTAATATGTCTCTGTCTACTTGTTTAATTCCCCATATATGGAAATGTGCTGGAGGTACGTCTCTTCTCAAAGGTGGAGACCTATCAGACATGAATAATTATCAACCAATTTCTATTATTTGCACTACTGCTAAAATCTTTGAGAAACACATTTTTAAATCAATTATCACACTACCTCAATCTTTTCAATATTTTATCTTCATGCCAATCAGATTTCAGACCAAATCTCCAAAGCTCTTCTAAAATTTACTAATGATGTGTTCTCTTCCTTTGATAAAGTTTAAAGAACAAGTGCAGTTTCCATTGATCTTTACAAAGCTTTTGATATGGTTGATCACTATCTCCTCCTTGATAAGCAAGCTACATTCTGTTGGTTTAAATCAAAATGCTCTACTCTGGTTTAATGCCTACCTTCATGAAATACGTCAATGTGTTGTCTTTCAAGGTTCTCAGTCTGACTATTTAATTGTTGACAAAGGGGATCCACAGGGCTCCACCTTGGGACCCCTCCTTTTTTATCAATGATCTACCTCAAATTAGTTCATCTTTATGCTGATGACACTGTCATTTATTATTCTAACTCTGAAAAATCCAGTTTGATTTTAGCTTGATCCAAACAGTGTTTGGTATCCAACATAGTCATTCAAATTCCTGTGATTTAAATATTATTTTTGATGATGGGTTACCCCTTGTTAAAGTTGATTCATTTAAATATCTCAGACTTTGGATTGCCCCCGCACTCCCTGTTAAGCCACACATTGATTTTATTATAAAATAAAACATATGGTTGCCTGGGTTCACTTTGACACTACCTATTATTGATTATGCCGACATTGTCTATCTAAACACTACAGACACCTATCTCAAGCCACTTAATACTGTATACAACTCTTTATGTAGATTGATTTTGAGGTGTCCATATAGAAAACACTATTGTTCAATGTATGAATTACTTGACTGGTTGCAGCCCAAATCTAGAAGGCAATTTTACTGGGTTAAATTTATTTTCAAATGTGTTTATTTCCCCCCCTATCTGAAACACTTGTTAGTCCCATGTAGATTTTCATATCCAATTAGACACATGCAATATCCCTTTTTCTTTGAATTTTTAAGAAACAGGTCATTTCAATTTAAAGCTCCATCTGACTGGAATAATCTTCAACTTTTTTTAGATCCATTACCTCTTTCTGTTGTTTTAGGACAGCTTTATTTTCTCATCTGAAAACAGATGACTTTATTTTTCACATTTTTGTTGACTTAACAACTTTTAGTACTTTTGATTTATTATCCAGGTCACTGTTTCTAACTTTTTAATTTTTTTCTGTTTAACAACTGAGAGCTGGGAGTGTGGGTGGGAAAGGGTGAGCAAGCTGTCTGTATCTGTGCATTTGCAGTGACTGTTATGTAATGCTGTTTTTTCTTCATATGTGTTTTGTTTTATATTTGTGCCTTAAGGACCCCCTTAAAAAATTAGATGCTGCATCTCAAGGGACTATCCTTTCAATAAGTTCAAAATTCAAATTCATCACCATGAACCGTCGCGCGTCTATCACTTTTGGAGTAGCTAATAACAGACAGCGTGACTGCAGCAAGGTAGGCTGACTGTTCATTCAGAGCTGCTGCTGTGCAGTGTAACTTTATCATAATTTACACCATGGTCTGGGTGAATACTCGATTTTGATTAGCTGCAGGATGTCCGTTAACTCCTGATATAAGACACCTACTGAACTGTC